ATTAACGCTCATTAAAAAAACGCACGAAAACTGTTTTTGACGTTTTTTGTAATTTTATGGGCGTTAAAACGGCGAAAATTCCAGTTTTTGAGCGTTAAAGTGCACTGTTATTCTAGAACTTAAAAACAATACGTTTTAACGCTCGAAAATTGGAGTTTTCGTCGTTTTAACGCCCATAAAGTTACAAAAAAAACGACTATAAACGCGTTTTCGTGCGTTTCTTTAATGAGTGTTAATGGCTGATAATCGCGGTTCCCGATTGTGGGTTTAAACACGTTTTTCAAAATTTTTGTCTGACTGGGATGTTTCATTTCAGATGCGTCCAAACACGCTTTCGTAGAACGGTTCAAACGCATCTAAAATGCGCTTCAAAACGCGTTTAGGCCCGAAAAATTTTCACATGGAGGGTTTACAGTCGAACATTCTATCAACCTGAAATCACTCTGCTTGATCGAAAGAGTTATTACGAATGTACAGATGAATGTATGAATGAAATCCTAAAGTCAAACAAGCTGCGACTTTGTTTCCTCTAAAATATATGAAGTTGGCCAGTCTGGTCAGATATCTTACTTCTACTTTTGATCGGTCTCCTCCTATAACTTGAGGGTGGGTGTAGGATGTGGGTGCGGGTGAGGGTGTGGGTATGAGTGGTATGGGCGTGGGTGTGAGTAAAGGAAAGATCTATACCGATACCCGCACCCATACCCACCCCCCACACCCACACTCACACCCACATCCACACCCACACCCACACCAACACCCACACCCACACTCGCCCATAGATATCCATAAGATCCGATTCGACAAAATTCCATAGTTTTCCAAAAATGCAACTTTTCTTCAGGAATTTTGTCGGTTTTTCTGTTGGAAATCTTTGTTTTGTATAGAAATCGATAGTTTTTATCGTCGGATTCTGTGTGATTCTATGGGAATCGAATATGGAATTTTTTGTTCTGAGGAATTTTCATATCTCAGTCAAGATTATACTTTTGAACGATATCATGGTATCACTCACAATCTCATTTGCGTCTTCTATAGAATGTTTGGCGGCTATTCATCATTTTCAAATAAATCCAGAAAAGTCCTAGTAACTTTTCATGCAAAGCATCTATTTAAATAAAATATCGTTCAAAAACTTCAATCTTGATTTATTTAACCAATCTCGATTAATTTATTCATTCTTGTTTATAAAATGAAGAGAAAAAGTGCATAATACGTAAACAAAAAGAGATATGAGCAGATTATATGCTGTGAATGTCTGATTTCTGTCCGTGTTACATAGCACGAGTTTTCAGTTCGAATAACCCAGAAAAAATTGTGAATGCTGCTTCCACAATGTTTTCATTGTTGATTGAGTAGGATAGTCGAAGTAATTGTGGTGGCGTAGTTTGTTGTGGATCGATTCCCATTATTTCTTCTGGTATGACTCGAATTCGATAGAAATGAGATAGAAACAAAGCTACTTCAAACGATGATTTAATCTTATAATGGCGACCGATCGATTGCAAAAATCGTTCACAGTTAACAATAATAAAAAATCCTGCTGTCGGAATACAACAAACAGTAAAATATTCCGATAATCCAATAGCAACGAATAATTTAATCATTGTTTCATCGTATTTCTTCTGTCGTATAATTTTTTCTAGTATGAATTTGGTCTCATCAATTTCCGATTGTTCAATTGTTCTTTGATATTCTAATTGATTGAAACCCATTAAACAAGTTAAAAGAATATTTCGTTTAGTTTTATAATGATGAGCATTCATTGCTAAGTAATCAATGATTCTTGAATGTTCCAATGAAAATACGGCTGATATAGATGATTGTAAGAAAACTGAAGTGAAAAGTGATGTTGTAGCTAATATGCCATTAATTTGTTCAATGATTGCTCGTTTTCCAATTGCAATACCTATGCGCATATCAGCAATAGCAAAAGGCTTTGATAGACCAAACAAAAGAATTAATTTCATGTTTTCATATTCTGATTTTAAACTATGAAATGTTCCAATAGAAGTATTAAATTGATTTTCAATTGGTAATTGTAATAATGCATATGCTAAATCTTCAATAACACATATTTTTTGTTGTTCACATATTTTAGCTAATTCGATTAGATCATCTTTGGTATAAATTGTGCCAAATATCGATGGATTAATATGTAGTAGTGCAACAATTCGAGGTGGACCAGGACATAATTTGGATTTTAAGCCATTACTCTGAATCTCAGCCAATAATCGTGTTTCTCCGTTCAATAAATACTTACACAGAAATTCTGATAATTCATCTTCAATATATTTCCAAAGACATAAATCTTCTTGACTTTTAATAAGAATTGTATCTTGTAGATGTTGTACAAATTCATAGATTTGTGTTTTGATTATTTTTTTCATCGAATCATTTGGTTCTATTAGGATATAATCATCGTACAATGTACGAAGTAAATTTTTCAATTTAAATGGTAGTTCTTTCAACCAATTTCGAATCAATTTTAAATGCGTATCAACAATTGCTGATTGTAGTTGAAAATTTCGTAATTTAAAATCATTCTCCTTAGCTAATGGAATAAAGACAATTTGACCACCGAGCATTTCAATTTGCGGTAAAAATAAACCATATGATGGAGATGGTACTAGAACAACATCATCTTTACGTAGAAGAACTGTTCGAAGAATACAATCCCACAGTTGTGTCGTTCCTGCTCCCATTGTCACACTTAAATCATCGATGATGAACTGCTGATCAGTATCAATATTTAACCATTTGATTGCTTTACAAAAACGAAGAATAATATTCTGTAAATTTTCGTCAATAATAGGAGTCGGTTGATATTGTCTATATGTGTTTGTCTCTCTAGCTGCTGATTGAATAGCCATAACAAATGGTTGAAATGGTTCTGCACATGAATTTCCTGTATCTAAATTGTCTAAGATATCAAATGTATTATCAATCATTTTTGTATTGAGGAAAGTATTATGTAATATAGTTGCATAAAGAAGTATGGATTGAAGTGTATTTGATTTTACTAATGATAATTGATAATTAGCATCGATCAATAATTTCTCGAAATGCATTTCCATATGAGTAATTTGTTTTTCTTTAACTTTCGTTAAATGTGGTACTTTCTCGACATCTGTTCGTGAAGAATTTTCTTCCTTCTTCGAATAATCTTGATCACATCGATAACCTCCATATTGTTTAATAGTATTTATTAAATAATCAATTAGTAGAGGATCATATAGTACTGAACGATGATCACTCATTAATACAAATAGATTAACAGTGACAAATTTATTCCATTGTTCAGCTAGTTGACGACTAGTCTCATTGGCAGCTATAAAAATGACTGGTATTCCTTTTGGAAAACGCTCTGGTAATAAAATATCACATAGCGAAATATCTTGTCGAAATGATTGAATAAAATTCGATAAATTTGTTTCATTATTAAATGGTACAATATTAATATTACTAGCAACAATTTTACATAATTTCAATGTTGACTGTTTTGATTGATATTGTGATAAATATTGTTGAATATGATTATGATTTGTATTAGATGCTCTATCAATAATATCAATCAATGAAGATAAAATTTGTGCATCGGTATAATTTGCATTCGTATCATTTAATTTCGAATCAATTAATTCAACAAAACAAATATCGAGTTCAGTTGACAAACGTTTTGCTAAATCAAATGCAATATTTCCACCTTGACTGTAACCAATAAGAGCAATTTTTCTCTTCAGAAAATTTCTTTTTAATGTTTCCGAATAGAGATTGATCAGATCGATGCTTACATATTTCTGACTACGTTCCAAACAATATAAACGTAGATCAGGAAAGATCTGAGAGATTTTCTGCGCTAGATTTATATACTGAATACTTCCACCGCCAGCCGGATGAATAAATATCAATGATAATTGATCATCTCTATGAATAGATTTAGAATCATTTACGATTAGATGTACTAAAGGTGTATATTCGACATGACTTTGCGATCGGAGATAATCAGCTAGTTGAAGAATAGTTGAATGTAAATAAATAGTATTAATTGGCAATTGACAACCAAATGTTGAATTGATCAAATAAACTAATTGAGTAGCTTGTAATGATGTTAGACCTTCATCTTCGAATAATCGACTTGTTAGAGATATATGATGACCAACAACGAAATTACAGATATTTACTATTTGATGATGAATATGATCCTTGAATATAGGTATTGGTTTTTTCTCAGTTGATCCATTTGTGACAACTTTACTTGGAAGTATAGTTTCATTCGGCTCATAATTTGAATGGCCATTTTCATTGATATTTTCCGTGTGATATTGTTCGTATATGTCAATATTTGAATCAAATAAAAGATGAGATTTATTTGTTGGTTTTGTCAGAATTTGTTTTTCTGATGACATTTTCTTAGTATATTCCTGCATAGCTTCGAATTTACTGAGTAGAATTCGATCGATTTTTCCACTATTTGTTAATGGAAATGATGAAAGAAAAATGAATCTTGACGGAATCATAATTTGTGGAAGTGATTGTTGAAGTCGAGCACGTATTCGATGAATAGAAGAAATATTATTATTATTATCTATCTGATTGTTTTTTTCTAAATAAGCTACTAATTGTAAACTATCATTAATTGTGATAGCTACAACAACTGAACGAGATATACCATCAATTTGATTTAATACATTTTCGATTTCTTGTGGTTCAATTCGAACGGCACCTAATTTAATTTGTTGACAAATTCTTCCCAAATAAGCAAAATCATCGATGATTGGATCATAGAGAACAAGATCACCAGTCCGATACCATCGTTTGACATGTTCGTATTTGTATAATTTCAATTGTAAAAAATTTACATTTGATGATGGAGAATTAATATATCCATTCATAGAGACACAATCACCTCCAATATATAATTCACCTGGTATGAATGGAGGTACAAGTTGTTGTTTCTTGTCCAAGACAACGAAATAATTGTTTTTCATCGGATGACCAATCCAACTTTTTGATGATAATGTCTCATTTCGATTTAAATCATCGATTGTTATCATTCGATATGAGTTAACTACCGTTGTTTCTGTTATACCAAATGCATTTACCAACAAAACATCGCGATTTGAATAAAGCTCATACCAGTCTCGTACTAATGAATAATCAAATTTTTCTCCACATAACATAATACATTTTAATAGTGGTAGAATTTCATTACGATGAGCAGATAGAAAATATCGAAAAATTGATGGAGTTATACTGATATGTGTGATATTTGTTTGTTTACATAGACGAAACATTTCGTCCATATCACGTGCATCATGAAGTATAATTAAACAACCACCACTGAAAAATGTTCCGAATATTTCCCATGCATGAAGATCGAAAGCAAATGAATGAAATGCTAGACATCTACATTCACTATTAAATTTGTACATATGTAGACAGGATTTAAATTGATTAAGTAGATTTCCATGTGTTATTGGAACGCCTTTTGGCATACCTGTCGAACCAGATGTAAATTCAACGTAAGCTGTACTATCTTGAGTAATTATTGGATTTGTAAATTGCTTTATTGAATGATTGAATAAGAGCATTGAATCACAGAGTAAAATTTCAATGTCTTTTTCATTAAGTATTTGTTTTAGTTGACCTAATAAACTTTTCGATGTGATAATGATATGAATTGGTGTTGTTCGTACGACTTTTATTAATCGTTCAGCAGGAAAATATTGTGGATCCAAGGGAATATAAGCAGCACCAGATTTTAAAACAGACCATATTGTTAATGGGATGAATGCATGTCGTTCGAGATAAAGTCCGATATACTTTTCAGTTTGTGAATACCATTTGAATGTCTGAAGGATTTCTTGTGCAAAATATGTGGAATAGTCTGATAATTGTTGATATGTAAGTTGAATTTTTCTTTCCGGATCAACAATAGCGAGATTATTTGGATATTGTTCGACAATTTTATTAAATTCGGAAACAAGATCTTCAGAAACATGATGTTGATTCCCATTTGAATTATTAATATTTATCGTAGTATTGTTCATCATTTGCATTAATTTTTCACTTCCGACATTTGATAGAAGCGTTAGATCAAATATCGATAAGTTTGTTGAATTTTTTTCGTAACAAATTTGTTCTAAGATACAAGCATAACTATCAACAATAAATGATGCGAAATGATGAGTTTGAGCTGAAGCTAACATATATATTTTTAATTCTTTATTATCATAACAGTTTATATGAAATTCTAAATCAAATTGAGGAGTACGATATTCATCATGTCCAATTTTTTGAATTTGTTCATTGTTCGATGAAAATGTTAACTGTCGAAAATTATACAAAATTTGAAATAACGAATTAAAATTAACATTTCGTTTAAGTTTTAATCTACTAATGATTTCAATAAATGGATAAGAATTGTCCATCGCTTTTAATATTAAATTATGGATTAATAATATTGTATCTTTGATTGAAAAATTATTCTCTATTCTACTGCGTATTATTAACAGATTAACAAAACAACCAACAACAGATTGAGCTTCGACTAATGAATATCGTGCTTCTGTCATACCAAATGCTATATGAGATGATCTACCATTATTATATCGTGCAAGAACAATTGTTAAGATAGAAGCTAAAAATGAGTTAATTGTTACACCGATGTCAGCTGCAATTTGCTTTATATTAATCAGAAGATTATTATCAACTGCTATTGAATGATATTGATCAAGAACAGTATGACTGATATTCTCATCAATTGGTATACTATAATATTCAGTCGTTGTGAATTGTGTTTTCCAATACTCCAATCGTTGTTGATAATATGGAGTATCAATGATTAGACGTTCATAGAGAGCATGTTGAAAGAAATTAATTGCTGGAGTAATTGGTTCATTTGAATATTGTTGACTATTATCTGTTGAAAGCAAATAGATTTCTTTCGCTAATAGAGAACCAGAATATGCATCTATTAATAGATGATGAAATACTATATGTAGAATAGCATCATCTTGATTTTCTGTTAGAGGTAAATAAACAATTCGAAATAATGGTGTTTGATCGAGAATAAATTGTTTTTCGGAATGAAATTTTAATATTAGATTCAACTGATTATACCATTCAGTTGAGTCTTTATTTGGTAATTTTAATAATGACAAATCTTCATCGATAGTCCATTCAATAGTATCATGCAATTTATGATAAGGATATCCATATTCATCACGATGAATAGATGTACGAAGAATTGGATGATGACTAATCAATATTGACAGAAACGTTCGGACATAGTGTTTTGGAGCAGATATATAAAATGTTGATGTTGTACGAAGTGCTGCATGATTTGGTATGACTTGTTCCATAAACCAAAGACGTTCTTGAGCATAGCTCAATCGCATTTCCAGATTTGACTTTAATATATCTGAATACATATCAGAATAAATTTCTCGAAGAAAGATAGACAATCCATTATTATATAGATTAGTCAAGAGTATAAGAAAAACATTGATATCTTCGAATGTAATTGACTTTTCAATATTTCGTTTTGAATTTAATGTATTGAGCATTGTCATTGTTTTTAGATTGTTGAAAGTCTGTTGACGTAAACGTCGTTTTACTAAATTAGTTAATGTATGACCAGGACCAATTTCAATAAACATCGCAGTTGATTGTTGATGTTTTATTAGACGAATAAGATTGTCAATATTTTTACAAGCTTGAACAGTCTTACACATATGTTCTCCATAATAATGTAAATCCATCGCTTGTTCAGCAGTAATTAAATCACCAGTTAGATTTGACATATATGGTATTTCAGGAGTATGAAATACTGTTGATAATCTCGAAAGAAAATGTGTCAATTTCTCGGCTGCTGGACGCATATTAGATGTATGATATGCATGAGATGTTGCTAATTCTTTGTGAATGATTGATTTATCTTTGAGCCAAGTTTGAAAAGAATGAATGTGTTCATCTGATCCACCCACAACTGTCTGTTGTTCAGAATTGCATACTGATATTTCTAATTTCATTTTTGTCGAATCAAATTCAGATAGTAAATTTTCCGTTTCAAATAAATTTCGATTGACAGCAAGCATTTTTCCACGTGAACATTGACTCATAAAGACCGCTCGATGACATACAATATCTAATGCATCGATAACAGTCAACACTCCTGATATACAAGCAGCGACATATTCACCAATACTATGACCAAAACAATACGATGGTTTGATTCCAAGTTTCATAAGATATTGTGTCAATGCATAGGAAATAATAAAGATAGCTGGTTGTGCGTATTCAGTTTGTGAAAGTATGCCGTCGATTGTGGTTGGATCAAGTTGTTCGGGTGCAGTCGATGGAAAGAGAAGATGTCGTAAGTTGAATTCCGGATATTCGATTTCCTTCGGTGTGGGTAACCATCGATTCGAACTAATTAATTCACAAAGAGAATCAACATATTTGCGATAAGTTTTATTGTATTTATACAATCCAGCAGACATATTCAAATATTGTTCACCTTGACCAGGAAATAAAAATATGACGAGAGGATTATCTAATGAAGATTGAGATAATGTTCTTGAGAATTGATCAAGAACAGATGTCTTGTCTAAACTTGAAATTGTGATCAACATTTGATAGGATTCACGTAATTCTTCTTTCTCAGCATCTTCGATCCATGTACGTATCTTATGCAAAAGTATAAAAGGAAATGTTATTGTATCAATTGTTTGCAAATAGATGATTACATCATCAAGTTTTTTACGAAGTAATTCCAAAGAAGTACTACAAAATGGTATGATTATGGGAATTTCTACTGGTAATTGTAGCGATATCTCATCAGTTGTAAATACAATCGTTGATGAATCATCGTGTGTATGTTCTGTTTTTGATGACATTTCGAGAAAGTTGCTGTTTTCCGGATTCTTTTTTGTGCTGTCCAGAACTTTTTGTTGAATTTGTTTAATCGTTGTGTTCGTTCCAAGTAGAAATGATATGGGTAAATCAATTCGAAATAATCGACTAATACTAGCTTTCAATTCCAATGCAGCTAATGAATGAAATCCTAAATCTGAAAGTCGAGTTTCATTCGGTACTTGATCATGTTCCGATAGGCCGGAACTTGTTGCAATTAAATTTGTCACTATCTTACAAATTATTTGAGGATTATTTTGATTCAAATCATGTTGTTGTTCATCTTGATGATGAATAATTTCGAAGAGTTGTGGTAATGATTTGAGCCAGTTTTGAAGAATTTTTTGCCACATACTAAGATGTTCAATCGATCGATGGACTTGAACATATTTGATTGGATCAACTTTTAAAATACCAATATTTTTGTAAATAGTTGACGGATTGACCTGTAATTGATAAATAATATTGGCTAAAAATTCACATATTTTCACCATTGGTTCAGTTATCCATCCTTTTTTTTTAAGTGTATCACGAACATCTTGATTGTCTGCAACATATCCAACATCATCAATCGCTGGAAGATTAATTGCAAAATATGGCGTCTGATTTTGACCATGGAAAGCAAGTGAGTCCATAAAAGCATTCGCTCCAGCATAAGCTAATTGACCTTGATTACCAAACATTGAAGTCGTTGATGAGAACATCATGTAAAAATCGAGTTTATACTTAAGTTTGTCTAAAGTATAATGAAGAAGTAGAGAACCAAGAACTTTTGGTGCACAACTAAGTTTGATTTGTTCCATTGTATGAGTTTCAATTATCGAATCTTTCAATATCATACACATATTGATTATGCCACCAATATTTGAATAAGATTCAAATAGTTTTTCTATATCGACGGATGATGTAATATCTAAGACTAAGACATCGATTTTTACTTGTTGATTCGATAAACTTTGCTGTAGAAGTTCGAATGCTTTCATTTCTTTTAATTTATTCTTAAATCCATTTCGAGATGCTAATACCAAATGTTTAGCACCGAAATTAATCATCCAATTTACTAGATGAATACCCATACTAGTACATCCACCAAAGAGGATATAAGTCTTCTCCGATGAGAATAACTTTTCGGAGATTGCAACAGATGAAATGTCTGCAAAACTATACTGTGCAATAGATCGTTTGTTCTTCGAAGGATTTAATTTAACATGACACGCTGTTGTTATGTCGATCATATTTAATTCTTTGAGAACATGTGAATCAAATACTTGTGAAATGTTTTCATTTCGATCGAGATCAAGTTCAATTAGACGACATTTTATCATTGGTTTTTCATCGAGCCATACTCGATAATAACCAGGAAGACAACCGTAAATTACTGAACTTTTGATATGTGGAGATGAACAACGACTAACTATTTGAAATGATGATATCATTTTGAAACTATTTGTTGTAGATTGTAGTTCGGAAACTACATGAAAAATCATTAATAACCATTCACTAATTAGTAGAAATTTCTCGTATATTAGTTCTGGATATTCGGCAAGAGATTCATCGATAACATCGGGTACGATAGCTACAATATCTAGTGGTCTTTTATACGATTGAAGATCAGATGATAATGAATGAAATGATGTTTGAGAGTGACATTGAATTACTGATAGATCAATGTTATTGATACATTTACTTTTCAATTCATCATTAGTAATAATGACAAGAAATATATCGTTATTTTGTTTCATTTCTATACTGGGTATTTCGATAAATTCCGTCAAAATATAATTAGATGTATCACCCATTGAAGCTGATAGTTTATAATAATCGGATGTTGGTTGTTTGGGAGCTAAAGCTTTGCTCATGAAATTGATCAACGATGCAATATGTTCACCGGTATTAGAATATAAATACACATCAGTTGAATCAATTCCTTCTTGATTCCTGGGTTTTGCAAATACTTCCGCCCATAACTGATCATCATCAATCATCGAAAGTGACTGATATACTTCAATTTGTTCAAAACCCATTGGCAATGAAGCACAAGCAATCGAAGTATCGAGCACAGCAGCTGCACCTTGTATTGCTCCGTCGATGATTCCAGGATGAAGATGATAATTATTTTCTTGAATTTCTTGTTTGATAAATAACGGAAGTTTGATTTGAACTAGAGCTTGACCGTTATCCGGTTGACTATAAACATGTTGAACTAATGAAAATGCTTCACCATAAGTAAAACCTATGTCACGAAACGTTTCATACCATTGTGTTGAATTCCATATTTGTGATGATTCGATAAAGTCATTGTTCAATTGTCTTTGACGTCGAAGTGGAGCAACAGAATCATATTCGAATATTGCTGATGAATATAATGTCAATGAATGTGTTGGATTTCTAGATAACGAACTATTAGATCCGAAAATATTGATTTGAAATGATAAGAAACTTTTCGGTTTCACTTCCACTCGCATATAATATTCATCCGATGTATCCATCCAAAAAGCTTCTTTCATTTGCATATTCGTAATTCGATAGTTGACATTCGGTAAAAGCATATTAGCTATAGCTAAATAAATCTCTATGCAATAAGCTGCTGGTAATAACATTGAATTCTCAAAGACATGTTGTTGAATTAATGACCAAGTCGAGACTTGAATATGTGCTTCATAAACACATATACAGAAACGATCACGACTAGTGGCATTTGTTTCGGACATCGGATGAAACATGTTAAATAAAGTTTTTAATTCCTTCTCATATGAAACTAGCATACGTGAACGCAAAGAATCTAATGATTCCGACCAATATGAACTATTCTGACAGGAAATAGACGGAAAACGAAAATCGCTTATATTTCCTAGTGGATACATCATAGACCAGATGTTGTCGTTTGAATACCCATTTACATATAATTCAGCTAGGATAGTGGTGAATTTCATTAGTGCATTTGCTTCATATGTAGAATGAATTGACAAAACTGTATAAGGAAAATCTTGTGAATCGTAAGTTTTTGTAATATTTTCCATAGAAAGCAATGATGCTGTTGATAATATTGGTTGTGGAGATAAATCAAGCATGATCAAAGACGCTCCATTTTCTTGAAATGTTGTATTTAACATGATATTTAATTGATTGGGAAAATTGATTTGTGATCGGACGATATTCCACCAGTATTGAGACGTAAAGAAAGGCCAATCATTTTTCATTCGAATGCTTTGAGGATCATCTATGGAATATATTAAACCATTTGTATCGATGATTTGAACTATATGACCATTTGTCATTGTAGGAAAAAAGTGATCAGATACTGAAGTGTCTGTTTGCTTTTTCCAAATTTCATCTAATTGTTGCATTGCTTTTATTTTGACGACGTCCATAAGTGATGTATGGAACGGTATTGAATAAGGTGTGAATGTTTTGACTGAAATATGTTGTTTGATTAACTCGATATGATCATAATAACCAGCAATAGTAAGACTTTGTGGACTGTTAATACAAGCTATTTCCACGTAAAGAACACCATATTGTGTTACTAATCTGTCCAAGAGTGCGCGAAAATCATTTAATGATGTTTGGATTTCGACTATCTGTGCTTTAGGAATTGCATTGTCCAATGAAACAGTACATAATGTCCACAATATTGATAAGAGCGTATCGAGATCGAGTAAACGAGAACAATACAATGCAGCAAACTCTCCTGCACTATGTCCAATTAACATTGATGAATATACTCCATAATAGGCTAATAGAATAGCAGTTGATGTTTCAACAGCAAATATTGCAACTGTTGCTTGAGCAAGTGTCCATATATTTGGATCTTCGATTTGTAAAGAATTAGTTTTTAACGAATCTAATAAAGACCATTTGTGTTTGCTTCTTGTCCATTGATCAATTTTAAGCATATGTTCAGCAAAAATAGGTATAGACATCAAATTCAAACCCATTCCAATACATTGTGAACCTTGTCCACCGAACAGAAATGTTAATTTTGGATTTTCTGAAAAAAGAAATTTCGGATTTGTATAGATAATATCTGTCGATGTAGCTTCGAGTTGGTCAATTAATGACTGATGATCTGTTCCAATGATTGCTGCACGATGATTAAATTGAAATTTTCGACAAGCTAATGTATAGCAATAATCATCAAGATCTTGTGGATTTTTCTTATCTGATAAAAATCGAACATGCTCTTGGATAAGTACAGATAGTAAATGTTTGGTCTTTGCCGATATTGATAAGATATAGGGCAACATTCGATGATGATTGTCATTGACAAGAGAATATTGCTGTTTTTTGTTGATATATTCCATTACTACAATATGAGAATTTGTACCACCGTAACCGAAACTGTTTACTCCAGAAAGACGAGATTTCCCTTCAGCAACCAGCCAATCTTCAACTGATGTTTGAACTTTTAAACGTTTGTCAACGTTAACAAAAGACGATGGATAATTATTAAAGTGTAAGGATGGAACAAATTTCGCATATTTTAAACATAATAAAGCTTTCATTACTCCAATAACACCAGCTCCAGATTCCAAATGGCCAAGATTAGTTTTGACTGAGCCAATTCTTAATAATTGTGAAGTATCATGTTGATTATTTAAGAAGAATGATTGAATCGAAGCAATTTCAATTGCATCACCTTTAGCTGTACCTGTTCCATGAGCTTCAATATATTGTATATCATTTGGATCCAATTGACAATTTTTGTATGCAGTTGTGTATAAATCAATTTGAGCTTGAATATTAGGCGATGTAATCGGAATACTCGATCGACCATCTTGATTAACACAACTGCTAACCAATAATCCATGTATACGATCTTTATCTTGTAAAGCATCGGACAATCGTTTTAATAGTAGCATTCCACCACCTTCACCACGTGCATATCCATCTCCTTTCTCATCAAATGCTTTACAACGTCCATCCGGACTTAGAAGATTCATTTGACTTAATGTAACGAAAACACGTGGATTTATTAGAACATTGATTCCTCCAGCTAAACACATATTGGTCTCGTGATTTCGTAAACTATTCATAGCATAATGTATGCAAACAGCTGACGACGAACAAGCTGTATCAACAGTCATGCTCGGACCATGTAAATCAAATGTATATGAAATTCGATTTGATGAAATACTATTCGATAAACCCAATGAGGTGAATTCGTTTATATTCAAATATCGATCTGTTTGATTACTACCATAATCGGCGTTCATAACACCAATGAATACACCAGTCTTACTTCCTTTGATTTTTGTTCCAGTTATACCAGCATCATCAAAACAAGATAATGCTAGTTTTAATAGTAATCTTTGTTGAGGATCGATTGCAGCAACTTCAGCTGGTGATAGATAGAATAAACTTGGATCAATATCAGTTAAATAATTGTCCGGTAAAAAATATCCATGATATGTATTAGTCATACCAATCATTGAATTCGATGTTTTTTCGTCATGAAAGTAGATCGAAGAATTCCATCGAGAAAATGGAACTATTGATCGTTGATCAATACCTGATACTAATGATGACCAAAAATCTTCATAATGTGTAATACCACCGGGCAATACACAACTCATTCCAACAACTGCTATCATCTCTTGTTCTCGTGGATTTGCAGATTGGATTTCAGCATGAGAATTTACGTCAATATCGACGTTCGTCGTCATCATCTCTTGAACGGTACACACAATTATATGACAATATCGTTCAGTTCCTAAAACAGGTTACCGATTAATTATCTTATTTTAGATACTTTCTTTCACACATCAAGAGCTCTTTATGTAAAGCACAGTCAAAATTATAAGAACATAGAGTTTTGCACTTTTCAAATCTTATTTTCACTTTTCTATTTACTTCCTGAATTGATCTGTCTATTCACACATATACAATTAGTTGTGCCCGATTCGAATATCAACTCAGAATTTCGTAAAACGATTCGTTTTCATAAAAAAATAAATGTGGAAACCTCGGATTTATATCCGAGAGTTATGTGTACTTCAAAAAATGAATTAGACAGATGAGTCATCCTAGTAGAGATGTCCATCGCGGCTGAAAATCTGCCGCTGCTGCGCCACCGTGCGTTTTAGAATTTGGTGTTGCACCGCTGCCGCGCCACGATGCTTTGAAAAGTGAAAGCCACCGCGCCGCTGCCGTACCGCACTGAAATCGAACTTCACCGCACCACTGCCGCGCCGCCGCGCATAATAAAAAACCTACCGCTGGCGCACCGCCATGGACATCTCTGCATCCTAGAACGTGTGGACATCAAAATTTTTCTCGCAAACCTTTTCTATAAACACATGAATTCTATTGGCTACTGCTCAACCAATAGAATTTAGGGCCGAATACAGCTCAGATTTGAACTCTTCGCATTGAATTCCCCTAAGAAAGTCGTTTTTCCTATAACTTGATTTCTATTGGTCCCTGCTCAACCAATGGTATTTCGAGGCAAGTGGAGTACAGATTCGAGTTCTCCGCCCCAGAAAACCCTCGAAGTACCATCTCTGTGATCGAAAGATAGAGCTCGAATTGGGGATCAATCAGAGCGTGGACAAAAACAGAACCAATTTCCGTTTAAT